TGGTGGAGAGATTTTCTCTGTGCTGTCAACACATGTACCCTCCCTTCGTACTGCAAACTTGGCGTAAAATATACTCATATGCATTAAGGAAAATAGTTCAGTTGAGTGAGACCAGTGAACTAATTAATGAGATAAAAAGAATATTTTGGTCGAGACAAGTTTAACTGATGTATCTGGAACACAAGTAATTTGGTTGAGACTAGTTTAATTTCAATTATATTGGGATATCTAGTTCTACAGTCACAGAATTCACCATGAATTAACCTCAAAACATCAATTTTTTTTAGGTACCACCTCCAAGAGAAGAAAAACAAGAGAGTCATGTGACAGAGAATGTGCAAAATAATAAATGCCAGGTTTGAGAACCAGAGCTATTATTTATTTTGATTTTTTATCTTTGGCTTCTCTGGAGGTTCTCATTTTATTCCTCACAGAAAAAGTGCAGGCCATTAGGGAGTGAGGCACTCCCAGAAGGAATTATTTCTAAAACATCAAACCTGGAAATGCGACCATTGTGGGGTGATGTTGAGGTAACTAGTTATTTTGGTTGAAAATTATTCATGAGTTTTTTTATTTCACTTTTGAGTATCTTCAATCTGTGGTTCCTTGCATGGGAATGATTATGGTTGCATGGATCATCCATGTATAGTCCACCCCCTTACGTGCTTTTTTGATACTTTTCATCAGTTGATCTGTTGTTGTGTTTAGAAAGCTTTAGGTCCTTCATTTTTCTTCAAAATTTCATGGGAAAGATTTAGGTCTTGACTGTGATGTCAAAGGAGATTATGTAGGTCAGGTACAATTATCCTTAGGTGGTAAAGCGAACAGCCAGAAGGAATATTTTTGTCAATGTGATGTCACTCACATCACACAAATTTTTAATCATATACCAATAGGTGTGCTCAGTGTGTGTAAGGTATGCAGAAAATCGAGCTATATCCAGTGTATAAGGACTGCTTGAGTTTCAGTCTGAACCGAATCTCAAGAAATATGGCAGTGATTCAGGACCTTTAAATTGTCATGAACTTTTACTATATCAAATTTCTTTGTCCATGAGACAAATTATTTCACTTGTTCAACTCTTTTATGATATTTTCCAATGTTTCTTTGGTTTCTTATGATGCAATACTTTTGTATTCAGAAGAAGTCTCCACATTCAGTTAACTTATTGGGAATTGCAGTTGGAATAAAGCAAAAAGAGATGGTGAACAAAATTGTTAAAAAGGTTATGTTTCTTCATCTTCCGCTTCCTGTTTAGCTTGTAAATGTCATTTTAGTTTTCTGTTTTTTTAAATTGCTTTTGTAACTTGTTGCAGTTTCTTGAACATGACTTTGTTGTGATGCTTTTCCACTATGACGGTGTGGTGGATGAGTGGAATGATCTTGAGTGGAGTAATCGTGCCATACATGTATCTGCTATGAACCAAACAAAATGGTAAAGTCAGTTCTAATCAAATTTGTTACTGATTGCTAGTCGCCTGCATCTTTTTTTACTCATCTAACTCTCCAAAAATAGGTGGTTCGCGAAAAGGTTTCTGCACCCGGATATAGTTTCTGAATACGACTATATTTTCTTGTGGGATGAGGACCTTGGAGTCGAAAACTTTCATCCGGAAAAGTAAGTCTGTCTTACAGCACGGTCTTTAGTATCATTGTGAACATTTATCACTTGAAATGCTGATTTCAGAGTAGAGCAACTGTTGGATGCTTACGTGTACACCCGTTTAATTACTGCATATGTTTTTATGCTAAAAAAGTTGACATCAACTGAGGATTGAGCAGATTCAACGAAAATCTTGGTGTGATGTAGCGTTACATGCAAAAAATAACCAGCAAGGATTAGGCTAGTTGGTACTAAGATAACGTTCTCACTGCATAAGTCTTTTTTCAGGTATATATCTATTGTTAGAGAAGAAGGGCTGGAGATATCACAGCCAGGACTTGATGCTAGTAAATCGGAAGTACATCATCATATTACTGTGCGCAGAGGGAGATCCAAGGTGCACAGGTTAGACTCATATTTTTTACGGTCCTGCAAGTTAATCTTATAAAAGATGAAGAACTACTGCGAAGCAGAAGCGTCCTTATGCTTATGAAACAAACTCAAGGACCAAAAGTATTTAATCACCCTTTGAGTTTGAGATACGAATACTGAAATTTGAACTTCATTTCCAGCTAAAACATAAAAAAATTGTCGTAATTCCTTCATAGCTGGCAATAATGTGATTTCCTGCAACCGCTAGGGTCATCTCTATGCTCTAGCATTTTGGAAAAAATAAAAATCATGATATTATTTGTGTGTTTACTTTTGCATGTTCGCTGTCTTGTTCCAAAAGCTGACTGGTAATTTTTTTTGATTTGATAGGAGGTTCTACAGATTAAATAGAGGTGGCCGAACATGTGATAATAACAGCACAGAACCTCCTTGTGTGGGGTAAAGAACTACAACCTTTTTTTTCTTTTTAATGTAATATTATCTGATAACATCTATTTGCTCTGTGACCCTCTTTTTCTTTATGGCTCAAATGATTTAGTAGTGTCAGTAATCAAAACAACCTTGATTTTTCATTTTTATTAAATCGGTATGCAGGTGGGTAGAAATGATGGCTCCGGTATTCTCAAAAGCCGCTTGGCGTTGTGCTTGGTATATGGTCCAGGTATGGGAACTTTAATTAATTTTAATCGCTAACAAGTAATCAACCAACTTGTGTGTGGCAGTAAATACAATTTCTCAAAATGTTTTGTTAGTTAACTCAATCGAAACCACAAACAACTGTTTTGCTTTTTAGTAGTTGTGTCTCCTCCATGATACTTGATAGTATATGCAGTTACATAAATGTGCACTAATGATCTATTGTCCTTATGATTTTATACCAAAATGTCTATAGCATATCACCTTTCCTTTTCGAACGTCACAAAGACCCCTGCAAGTGATGATATAGTAGTAATGTTTAACTTGTAAATTTGCAACTCTTCTTTTTGCTCGTTTTTAACTAGTTGTTCTTTTGCTACAGAACGACCTGATCCATGCATGGGGATTGGATATGAAGCTTGGTTATTGTGCGCAGGCAAATCTAAACAACTTTCTTCCTACTTCCCATCTCTTCTTGACATGATTATAACACGTGTTATTAGTTCTCAGGGCGATCGTACCAAGAAAGTTGGCGTGGTTGATGCAGAGTACATAACTCATTTGGCTGTCCCTTCTCTGGGTGGTAATTCAGATGTAGAAACGGCAAGTAGTTCTTCCCTTGATCAATCATTGATCATCGATCCTCTTTTTGCAATTTTGATCTACTTTTATTACTTGGGAGCAAATGGATTAAGTGTTTGGCTTGTCTTGTGTAGGTGATCAAAGAATTAGATAATAATTCACTGCAAGGGAAGAACTTGTCTGATTCTGATACATTGGTATGATCTGCTAATCTTACATGCTTAAATTACATAAATTCTTCGTTTTATATTTCATCTAAAGTGAATCTCCTTTCGGAATTGCAGGCTGCTCCAGTTGAGAAATTTGACAATCGGTCTCTGGTAAGTTCACTATTTATTGTATCTGGTTTACTACGAAAAGTTACCTGTTGTTATACACTGTCAGTGTGCAAAACTTGAACTCTATATTGAATGACATTCTGCAGGTTAGGAGACAATCGTATATCGAAATGAAGGTTTTTCGAGAGAGATGGCGTAAAGCCATCAAGCAAGATCAATGTTGGGTTGATCCATTTCAAAGTCAAGAAAAAAGAAAAACAGGCACATAATGAAATTTCTCATAAGTTATATACATTCAGTTGTTTGTATATACATTGTATACAAAGAGCAGCTAAGAGTAAATAGCCATACAAGACTGATATCTATATGCATCAAGAGCCACAGTTACTCAGAAGAGAGAGGGGTGGTGTGTGGATGTGGAAAATTCAGTCATCTTTCTTTTTTTCCCTTTGGGAATCATTTTTATAGATAAATTTTGTGGTATTTGTAAATACCATTTTTTTTCTTCTTTTCCTTTTTTTTTTGGGGGTCTAAGAATAATGCCAAGGGTGCTGTATAGTTATGTTTATTTATGGCATTCAATTTGGTGATTTGTTTCAGGTCAACAATAAGATTTATTGCTCATAATTACTGCCTCTTGGCACACTTGCATTGTATCTTGCTATTTTGCCGTCAGATTATTCTTGCAATCCTCTTTGAAAACAGTGAGGATTTATCGAAAACAATCTCTTTAACCCAAAGGTAGAAAGGTTTGCGTTCATCTTGCTCTTTTCAAAATCTACTTGTGAAAGTAAACTGAATATGTTGTTTTTTAACCAATGGAATAAACTCTCAAGTAATCAGTAAGTAAGCAATTTTTTGAAATATAAGTAGGTTATATCTTTCTTTCTTTTTTTAGAATAATTGGTTATATTAGAGATCAGACTAAATTTGAATCGTGCACTGTAGCGCCCATTTAAGGTGACACTTTTAACAAAATTTTCTACTAAATTCCGAAACTTCTAACTAGGATGACTCAATCTCCCCTTTGTACCACAAGCCCACAACCCATGTTGGTCATTTTCAGGAATTTAATTAACTACAACCTTCTTCAACAATCAAAACAAGTGTTTCTAATGGAGTAATTTTTAAAAATTCGTAAATTTTCCATATGTTCCTTTTTTAGAGTTAAATAATAAGAACTTTGACTAATATTTTAAGGTGTTTTTTTCTTCTTCTTTTTGATATATAAAAAATTACAATTTATATTACTTTTTGTATAGTTATTGAATATTAATTAAGATATCGAATTAACATAATCTAATTTAACTTTAAAAATTAATCAAATTGACTTTCGAAAATCCCAACATGACAAATATTTTTTTTTTTTTTACTTCAAAGCGCAACATGACAAGTAAAAATATAGGAGTATGTATTATTTAAGTTTTAGAAAGTAGCATACGGTGATTGATCAGTGTTATAGGTAATACAAAAGTTATATCAACCACACATTAGTATTCCTCAGTTAAACCTCTCTATCATCATCTCATCTCATCTCTAGGGTTTAAGCTCGGTCATTTCAGTGTTTCACCTAAAACCTCACCGCCATGGCACTCTATGCCATACTCCTCCGCTCTCTCCGCCGTTCCTCCGCCACCGCCGCGGTCTTCAGAACTCAAATCACAACATCCGTTCACAATCCTCAAAACCCTAATTTCCTTCTACCTCAGCGATCATTTGCTTTTTCATCTGCAGAAGAAGCCGCCGCTGAACGGAGGCGTCGGAAGCGGCGGCTTCGTATTGAACCACCAATCAACGCCCTCCGCCGTGATCCACTCCCCAGGGGACCGCCTTCTCCCGATGATCCTCGATCCCGTCTTCCTGATACCACCTCAGCATTGGTGGGCCCTCGGCTTAACCTTCACAATCGCGTTCAATCTCTTATCCGTGCTGGTGATTTGGACTCTGCAGCTGCCGTTGCTCGTCACGCCGTTTTCTCAAACACACGGCCGACTGTATTCACATGTAATGCTATCATCGGTGCTATGTATCGGTCCGGACGGTATAATGATGCTAAGGCACTGTTTCAGTACTTTTTCAATCAGTATAATATTATTCCGAACGTTGTTTCATACAATCATGTAATTGTGTCACATTGTGAAGCTGGTGAGGTTGATGAAGGCTTGAAAGTATACAGTCATATTATTGAAAATGCGCCTTTTAGTCCGTCTGCTGTGACATATCGCCATCTTACCAAGGGATTAATTGATTCTGACCGTATAGCTGAAGCTGTGGATTTGCTTAGGGAAATGCTTAATAAAGGACATGGTGCGGATTCTTTAGTTTATAATAATTTGATATTGGGATTCTTGAATTTGGGTAATTTAGAGAAAGCGAATGAACTGTTTGATGAGTTGAAAGAAAGGTGCACTGTTTATGATGGGGTGGTGAATGCTACTTTTATGGATTGGTTTTTCAAGCAGGGGAAGGTAAAAGAGGCTATGGAATCATATCGATCACTTCTTGATAAGAAGTATAGGATGGTTCCTGCAACTTGTAATGTGTTGTTGGAGGTGTTGTTGAGGCATGGGAGGGAAACTGAGGCGTGGGCATTGTTTGATGCAATGTTGGATGATCACACGCCACCAACATTCCAGGCTGTGAATTCTGACACTTTTAATTTAATAGTGAATGAGTGTTTTAGGCTAGGGAAGGTTTCAGAGGCATTGGAGACCTTCAAGAAGGTGGGGAAGGGCCTCAAGACCAGACCTTTTGCAATGGACGTTGCAGGTTACAATAATATGATAACCAAACTTTCTGAGCTTGAAATGATGGAGGAAGCAGAAAAATATTATATGGAATTGTGTAACAAGTCATTGAGCCCAGATGTCACAACTTATAGGACAATGATTGAGGCATATGTGAAGATGGATAATGTCGAAGGCACACTGGAGAAGTACACAAAGATGGTGGAGGCAGGGCTGAGAGTCATTCCAGTCTATGCTGAAAAGTGGTTTAATTTCTTGATTGAGAAAGGCAAGGTTGCAGAGTGCGTGCCTATTCTCACCAAGATGGGTGAGAGAGAACCAAAACCTGATGTGACAACATATGATATTGTGATTAGGGCACTCTGTGGGGAAGGTAATTATGATGCAAGTTCCAATTTAGTTATTCAGACCATAAACTATGGTGTTGGTCTCACCAGTTCCCTCAGAGAGTTCCTGTTAGAAAGTTTTGGTAACCAAGGTCGTCGTGAGGAGATTGAAAGAGTTTTTGCTACTAAACCTACTTACATTCCACCTTCTACACCACCTCGAGGACAAGTTCCATGGCTTTCACAATTGCCTAGACAATTACCAGGAACTTCTCGTGCTGCAGGTATTTTTTTCCATCTTTGGCACATCTCATTATTTTGCATTTTCCCTAGAATCATTAGTTTGAAGCATATATGTTTGGTTTGCATATATACAACTGATTGGTTGGACCACTAACATTTACATAAAAACCAAATCGATTGAAGTTTTTAGTAATTTTCTTGGCCTAACTAGTTTATTTTTTGTTTTCTAAAAAAAAGAAAAATAACTACTACCACAATTATTTAGTTGTATTAGTTGTAATAGTATTACAAGAGATTCTTATTCATTCAAATAATTTTTGAAAGTGTGCCAATTCTTAGAATAATATTTTAGAAACAAAGATATCTTATGACATGTATTCACTTTAATGACTTGTTCAAATAATTTTTCTAAGACAATATTCAGATTAATGAATATGTGCTTCACATGATCCAAAGTGGTTGTAACAATTTCACTTCCATCTTATCTAATGGAGTAACCTTTACTTAATGTTTTTGAAAAAAATATATTTTCTTTCCATTTGCATTATTCGGAAGGGATTTACATTTTCAAAATATGGTTGGTCTAACATCATATGGTTCACCATAGGCTCATTTGTCTCCCTAAATTTTTAGTCCTTAAATCTCAAAGAGGTCTCTCATACAATATTTGTTGTGGGTTTTCCAACTCTTGACAGCTTTTTAATGTCTTTATGCAGGACAACAGACACCACCCGCTTCTTTATCATCACAAGTGCAAGGTCGGCCTTCAGCTCTTAATTCAACGTGGCAACAAAATTCACCTCCCTCATTCGTTGGAGGACAGCAACAAGCTTCATCACCTTCTTTCATTGGAGGACAAGGATCATCACAAATGCAAGGCCAGCAGTCAGCACCTAACCCAAGGTGGCAACAAGCTTCACCACCATCTTTTGTTGCTGGACAAGGATCACATCAACTGCAAGGCCAGCAGGCAGATCCTAATCTAAGGTGGCAACAAGCTTCACCACCCACTTTTGTTGCTGGACAAGGATCGCATCAAATGCAAGGCCAGCAGTCAGCACCTAATCCAAGGTGGCAACAAGCTTCACCGCCGTCTTATACTGCTGGACAAGGATCACAGCAAATGCAAGGCCAGCAGTCAGAACCTAATCCAAGGTGGCAACAAGCTTCACCACCCTCTTTTGTTGCTGGACAAGGATCACATCAAATGCAAGGCCAGCAGTCAGAACCTAATCCAAGGTGGCAACAAGCTTCACCACCCTCTTTTGTTGCTGGACAAGGATCACATCAAATGCAAGGCCAGCAGTCAGAACCTAATCCAAGGTGGCAACAAGCTTCACCACCCTCTTTTGTTGCTGGACAAGGATCACATCAAATGCAAGGCCAGCAGTCGGCACCTAATCCAAGGTGGCAACAAGCTTCACCACCCTCTTTTATTGCCGGACAAGTACCACAGCAAATGCAAGGTCAGCCATCAACATTTGCAAGAAATTCGCATCAGGCATCACCTTCTTTTATTCAACAAGGAGCTTCACCACCGTCTTTCATGGCTGGACAAGGATCACAGCAGATGCAAGGTCAGCCATCAGCTTTTGCAAGAAACGTGCAACAAGCATCACAACCTTCTTTCGTGCCCCAAGATGCTTCATCGCACTCTTTCATGGCTGGACGATCACAGCAAATGCAAGGTCAGCCATCAGGTTTCACACACGTTTCACAATGGTCATCACCACCCACTTATATGGCAGGACAAGGAGGACAGCATCAAAATCAAGGTCCGCCATCAGGTTTCACACAAACTCCTTATAAGGAGGCATCACCTTATTCCATGGATGGACAAAGAGCCCATTCAATGCAAGGTCTGACATCAGGACCTGTTCATACTCCACTAAATGAAATCTCACACACATCCCAATCAGTTAGAGGTCCAGCATCAGCTTTTGCACACGTACCTGGGCAATATGTAAGACATCAAGCAACAGAAAAGGCCTCATCCCAAGGGGACAATATTGAGCAATACCAATACCCCGAAGTGGCACGCCAAGGGAGAATGTAAATTGGGAAGCATAGTTTCTCTGAGGGGCCTGCTTTTGATACAGTTATCTAAATAGGACTGCAGGAATAGAAACATCTTGATGTCAGACTATGGTCATGGATTAATATGCACTGATAGAAATCATTGACAAATTTTGTAGAGACAATTGATGGTTTTAGGCGATACTTGTGATTTGAGTTGCTCATAAGTGATCGAATAGTTGAGCTTGGTGAAACAAATTAAATTGTACTATTGGTGAGAAAATATATTTATTTACTCTACATCTTGTACACTTGAATTTTTCCCTTCATATCAATAAATTGTACTTGCCTCGTCAAAAAAATATCTTCTTTACTTGTTATTCTTTTTATTACTTGATGATGCCTTTGTTAAATAATGCACTCTATAATTGTCTAAGCCAGTAAAAAAAACACTTCTCATTCACATATCTGTAAGCTACATATATTGTCATTATGAATTGTTGATAAGCTGTTACTTGGCAATGTAAAGTATCTGTAGAGACATGGATTATGTTCAGAAATGACTGCAGATTGTTGCTTTGGGACTTAGTTTGCAGCTTTTGGGGTCTCAAGCTTCAGGACTTCAGTGCAAATGAACTTTGTTGGTCGTTAAGAAGAAAACAATGTTGCAAGTTGCAACATAAGTTCTATTATTTGCAGCAAGTCAATTCCAAGACTCTCTTTATACAGGTGAAAAGCTTTCTTTTTGAGCACCCATTATGATATCATCACCCACTATCTTGTGCTTGTTATGTCTCAGCAACAATGTCCAATGTTGGTTGATGATATGCTCGGAATAAATACCCTGCAAAGGTTTTCATTACAAGCTGAACCTTTCTGAGGTAATGCTGAGGTGTGCAAAAGTTTTTTTCTTGTCTTTTGGCTTTCAATAATACTCCCGGATCAAATGTTAGTTGTGTGATCCATCTTGCTGAGCTGAACTTAAATTGGTTTTGATGATTAACAAGCATCTACAAAACAATCAAGTCTTTTGGAGATACTGGTTATGCTAACTGAATTGCAGAAGTGTTATGCAGATATCGAAAGAACCAGATCCTTGACGACTGCTACTCAGAAGTTGCTACATGAATTTCTGCAAGGAATCTGTGGACAACAAGGAAATATTGTTGCACTTATATTAGCTCTTGGGTTGGTTAGGTTTGAGCAGTTTGATCTTTGATAGTAGCTCATTTTGCTTTTCAAAAGTATTGTAGCAGGTGATAATTGTTGGAGTATGTTTAGCTTTCTAGACTAGGAGTTTAGTCTGGCTACAATTGGGTTGATGGTAGGAGTTTATAGTGCCTTTGATTATTGAATTGCAACCTAAAACTGCTTGTGAAGTTGGTGAAAATTTGAGGTGATTTTTAACTCTCCTGAGCAAGAAATTTTCCACATAGAACTGTTTGTATACTTCAATTTGGTGCTCCACTTTCTGCTTGTGCCTACATCATTGATGTTAAATAACCAGGTTCTTTATATCACAAAAATCGAGCCAATTCACCCCCTCGTGTCTAAGGTGGGTTGCTAAAATAACACATTCAGCTTTATTTTGACATATAAGTTAGCATCACCAAAGTTACCTATTCTTGTGACATCATGGTTAATTGCTCCAAATACAGCACTGTTTTGCAGCAAAACTGTAATAGTTTTCATGTTAAAGTAAAGATGATATCTGGTACAAACTTTAACTGGAGATGAAGCTACAAAACATCTTGGATATCATTAACATGGTAGTTTACCCAACTACAAAAAAATAATGGCAAATTTAACGTCGTCTACACAAGAAAATTAGTACCTCCCCTCAGTTTTAAGGACCTAAATCCTCCCCAAGAAATTCTAAAGCATGTACTACAGGAGTCAAAAAACTCATAATGCAAACCTACACTTGTGAGCAAAGGATCTAACATCAATATAAATCACAAGGAAAGGGTGAAAAAAGATACCCTTGTCTCTCAAAAATCCTCTTCAGAATTCCATCACTTTGGAACTTAGGTTCAGTAAAGGTTCTAGAGCACTTGGATTAAACTTCCTAGCAAAGAGGTAACACACATGTGTCTTCTCTGAGTTGTATGCACATGCTGTTCCATTGTTCCTTATCAACTGTAAAAAACCTTCAGTAATATTTACCGCGCTGAATGCTGCAGGGTGAGGTCCCCCTAAGGACCAGTCAACATACGTCACTGTTCGGTTTGCATTTAAAGGTCCGTGGAACAATCGAATAAAAGTAGGAATATAGTGCTCATCTGGATAGCAAGCAGGCTTGCAAAATCTTCTGAAGATATCGTAGTATTTGGTATCTGAAACTACTCTAACAGCTAAAGTTCGATTCATCTCAAACCATTGCGACCCTTTTCGCCAATCAGGAAGTTTGATATCAGGTTTCATATGGCGGTTATAGCGCCCACGCCCATAGCGAGAAGGATCATCATATGATTCAACAAAACTATGAATGGATCCTATGAGATACTTGTAGACAGTTGGGAAATTGTAAACTGGAATGCAGCTCTCAGAAAGGAGGACAAACCGCTCATTTGAGAAGTCGAGCAGAGCATTGGCCATTAGCCTCTTCTCAGCATCAACAAGTGTTACTGATCCCCATTCAACATGCTGAAAAAGAAGAAGAAAATAGTTAGCTAACTGTTACACTGTTACATCAAAATCCAAAAGATCATTAAACATTAGAGAACTAGTGGATTAATGTCTAGCTAATAAAACAAAGGATTTCAATTCATTTACATAACTCTGTCCAATGTCCCCCTGCTCTGAATCTACATCCTGCATGATTTTTCAATCCTGCTGAAAAACCATGTAGTAGGTTGAGAGGACTTGAGTTCTACATTGATACCAAATAAATAAATAATGATAGCCCACACCCCCACATTAATACTATGTATCAGATAAGTATTGTTCCTTGCTCACTTCACATAGCAAAGTTTACAAAGAGGAATAGTGTTTGTACTACAGATGGCTATAACAAAGACATGAATAGCAGGGGTGCGCCTCGGATTGTGATAACTTGACTTACCAGAACATTGTGGGAAAAAAAGAGGTCTCCTGGTGTAGGTATTATGAAATCTTTGAGTATACAAAAAGCAAGAAAGAAAGATCCATGTCTCACCCTATATGAACCAATATTATATGCCTAGCCCATCTCATAAATATACAAGATAACTCGGTTCTTCTTAAGCGGTTCCAGTAACATGGCTCAATAGCTTATACTTGCATTGGTGTCATTAGTGACCTGAATGATACTTCTCCTAGCACCTAGGGCACGAGTTTTCTCCCTCATTTGTTCATAGCTGAAAAGTTTGTTCAAAGAAGGTTTGAAGGGTTCCACATGTTTAGGAAGTGAAATTCCAATTTTCTGATCCTTCATCAGTAACCTTAATCCTTTGATTTTCTCTCTGATAGCATTTGTAAGACACACATAAGTGTATTGAGGATATGGGTAACTGCTTTCTGGATGATTTCAGTTCCTTCATAAACCAAGGCAGGGTTGTATTTATATAGTTCAGTAATTGCCTCCCTCAATTCCCATTCCAAACTAACAGAAATCCATATGGGCACAAAGATAGAGGAAAAGGTTAGAGTGACTGTTAATCTGCAACTAATGGGAACTTCAGCTTTTTGGCTCCTCACTTGAACTACATACAAGACTGCAACCTGTTGCACCAAATATTACTAGTCTCCTCCTCATCAAACCTAATCTTAAGGAAATAGAGGTGCAGCCAGGATTTGGTCCACGAGGAGCCGAAAATGGTGTTACATACATACTTTTACATGCACACACTAAATGCAGAACCATAAAGGAAACACATTTTACGTATATGAGATATATACACATGTGTGCATGAATTTTTTTGGCAGAGGGTAGTGGGGCATTAGTAAGAAATTTTAGACACACATCAGGAATCCAATCCATATAGAAGATAAAACAAGGATCCATAACATAAAAAGGGGTCAAATGCTAAATAACCGATTGTAATTCTATATATTTTCTGATTTTTATGCCTTTCTCTCAACGAAAAGATCAAATGTCCAATCCATTTTATTTTTCTGGTTTTCAAGCAGGTTGGAATGTGTATTATCACAACAGCAGATAATTTTAAAGCCATTTCAACCAGCAATTTAAGTAAACAAAAAAAAGGCCAAGCCCAGATGGCATAGGGCTGAATCTCCTTGGAGAGGTAAAAGTGCTTCTCTTCCACTTACGACACCATGTTGACATCGGGCTTTCAAGCCCATTATTTCTACTTGTAACTGTTTACAGTCTTGATTATCGTAACTGTTTCATCCCCTTCCATTATTCGTGATACCAAGCATAGCATATCCATTGCGTCACAGGGTTACTCTCAGATATGGAAATTCTAGCAATAAGCCTCCCTCTGATTCACATCCCTCACAACATGATCACTCTATGAACTACAATCTACAGCTAGAACAGCATTTTTTTCCTAATAAATTAATCTACCTGTAGAGTATAATGTCTCCCTTATATCACGAATGAAAAGACAATGAGAAACAGTTCTGACTTTGCTTTTCCAATGCCATTGTAAATTTATTCACTTGAATATTAAGTTACTGAATCAGCAGTCCTGTCATCTTACTTCTATCTAGTGTTAATTTTGCAGAAAACAAAATCACAGTCACAGAGCTCAATAGTTCAAACTATACAACATTGAAAATTCATTGCCAACCTTGGCAGTAAACAGCAACATTTAATAAATGTTATAAAGTATGTTCTCATTATTTTCCTCAGAATATCGATATGAGAATGTTTCACCGTATATTTTTGCATATTGTCACAAACTGAAAATTTCCTCAAACTCCTAACAGACTGAGCAATTCAACACTTGCATCAAGAGAACTGATGTTACTCTTGTTTGAAATTTCAACTTTTAAACAGCTTACTAACTAAGTATTCTGCAACCTTCCAAATCATCTTGACAATTCAATGTGCTATAATTTTTATTCTTTAATTAACACCTAATAAGAACTTCATACATAAAAGAACTTTGAAGAAAGAGAGTGCATTTCAGCATCCTTCTCAAAAGTTGGGAGAAATCAAAAAAGTCAGCATGCATCTTTTATGCAAATATAAGTCATCTCTAACTTAAAACATTTCACATACTCCATGTGAAAGCAGAACCAAACTAACACATTGTTTTATGAAATAAATACAAAAAACATGCATTTGTCAAACTATCTATCACACAATAAGCATGAAACAACATCAATATAACAACTTTGAGTTCATGTCAGCAAGAATCATACCTGACTTGGAATTTGCCTCTTGTAAAAAACTGAGGTATTAGAAATACTTAGCACATACCCTGGGAGGGCATGCATATATATAGAATACTTATTCACATCCTGCCCTTGAAAGAACCTCTCCCACAATGGTATAAATGGTAACTGTCCCCTAGTCAAGAACATAAAGGCCACTTTAGGCACTCTCTTAAATGGAAACTCTTTCTTGTAAGGCTCTAATGAAGCTCTCCAAAACAATTCCTCATCTGACATTCCATGAATCAAAATCTTTGGCCTAACAAAACTATCCATGCTTAAACAATCCTCCTTCTCACAAACAGAACAATTTCCACTCTCCTTGCTCACTGTATCGGCCAATGCATTATTTGCTATAATCTGTTCAGCTTGAAAGGTAAAGTACCTATCAATATGTGAACTTGAAGTCAATCCAATAACTACTCCAATTACAAATACAATCAAAGTTGACAACACCCTTAAAAGACTAACTGATGAATCTCTTGTTACTGACACAGGCAATTTACCCTCTAGGTCTTCCTTTTCTCCCCTATTCCTCATTTTTTAACTCTCAGGTTGCAAGATCATCTAAAGTTTGAACCTTTCACAAGCAAAAACAAAACCCAGTTCCCAAAAGTGGGTAAACCAGCCAAGATTCACAGAGAAAACTCAAGAATGAAGTTACGCTACTCCATTAAGAGTAAATTTCAAAACCCAATTCCAAAATCGTGTAATTCGACCAACCCACCAGAATAATCCATCAAAATTTGAAATTGAAGAAAACCCAGATGAAGTTTCGCTACTATATTACAACCCTTTCAATAATTTGAAACAAAAAACCAAAACAAAACAAAACAAGAAATCTTGATGTTTTTCGATTGTGATCTACAAAATCAAGAAAACAGGAAGAAGAAGGAAAAAATAAAAGTAATTACTGATTTTTAAAAAAGCTGAGTTAATTAAAATTAAAAAGTGGAACTACCGGAAACAGTAAAATTGAATGATCGGAGGAAGAAAAAGGGGCAACGGCGGCAAAAAGAAGAAGCATTTGATACAGTGATTGTTAATATCTGAGAAGTAAGATACTATATGTATAATTAAGAAAAATCAATTAATGTTTATAATTAGATAATTAATTTGCCACTGAGTTTAATGCTGTCTTCACTTTGAATATTGCGCTCTAATTTTGGTCGTTTTCTCATGGTGATGTTTTTGACAACCTTTGTTCTTTTCACCCACCATTTTTGTTACGATAAGAACAAGACGTTTAATAACATTAAGAAATATTATCTCCGTTTTAATTTTATAGGAGTTTATCAGACGTGTATAATTATATTATCAAAATCTACAATTCTCAATTTCAATTAGAATTCTCGAAAGCTACTCGATTTTAAACCCTAACTTATGTCTATACAATGGGTATTATATTTCCTTGAAGAGATCATCTTAAATATTCAGTAAATCTCATAATATTTATAAAGAGATTAAAATATGTCGGGTTCTCAAATATTTTGAAGGAGCCACAAATCCTTTTCTTAATTCGAGAAATACGTCACTAACGACCCTCGAATCACGGAGAATTAAGGGAGGAATAGAATTGTACTCATATTGTTTTATCAATAATATTCTTGTTTCTTCCAATTTTGTTTATGATTGATTTTTTTTCATATATTTAAAAAATTTGGCTACTCTTTTATTCTAATTTTTCTAACATTTTTAAGACTCCAAGATTATATGATATTTTGGTATATTTCACATACTTTTGATTTATAATCACACGAATCAAAAGTCTTGTTTATTTTCTTAAATTTTGTGTTAAGTCAAAATCAAACAAATAAATTAAAACAAAGAAAGTATATCATAATTTATATTAAAATTTCTTGAGAGATATATTACGTTCAAATACGGAGTACTCATATAAATTTAATATAGTTAAATGATGTAACAATTAATAATTCATTAAATTTATGAAAGTTCACGAGCAAAACGATTAAAAGTACGTATTACAATTAACAGAAGTTAAAATGTGTTTAATCATATATATGTTATAATGACTAAAATTTGAATTTATCGGTATTTTAATAATTTGAATTATAAATTTTCCTATTTAAATTTATGTTTGGACATAAATTTTTTTTTTTTTTTAAATAATATATTTTATAAAATTATTGAGATTTCTTCACTTATGCTTCGGGATTGTAATTTATTTTTTTATAAGGAGCATATTATTAGTGAATAGTGGTCTTACAAGGTTGAATTTAGATTAATCAAATATCAATAGGAAACATTGTAAGTTTATTAATTAACCTACAAGACTCAAATTCACGTTAATCAAGCGAATAAATTTAAATATCCAATGCTTAAAGTGAAAATTAAATCACAACTTCGATTCTTTCCAACAAGAGAATTTTAAAGCAGAAAATTATTAAAAGAACAAAGAATATTATAAGGAGTTTTTAAAAATCCTTTAAAATTAAATAAAAACAGAACTTTTAAGAATATTTAGAAGAAGAAGAAAATAGGTTGCAAATAGAGGGAGAGGAGTGGTAATTATTATTTTATTACTAATAAAGAATAGTGTCATCTTTCTAATTATTTAATTGTACAATAATGTAATCTTTTTTCTAATTATTTAGTTAGTGCATTACCACTACTGGAGCATAATCATTGCAAGCTTCTCTTTGGCATTTTTTCTGAATTTTTATTTGAAATTTAAACACTATTGATGTCATATCCAACATGTAAGCTATGAGTTGTGTAATTATTTATAAGAGGTTGGCTAATAATATAGATAATTAATATTCTTTTCATTCAGTTTTACTTCATCAATATATTAAAAATTATTTTTACTTTTACTAATCCACTTTAATATATCAAGAGAAAGACAATTTTTGTAATAAAATATTGTTCAAAATTGAAATATGTGGTGTAGATATAAAAAAAATGCGATCATAAATGCTAATAATATATTTACACAAGTCATTTAACTTCTTATTTTTTTAAAAAAATAGAGTGGAATAAAGAATAATTACTACTTTAATTCCATTTTTTTCTTGGTTATATCTAAATGAAGGATTGGATTAAAAACTATGCATCGGAAAGTACAATGCGTCGAAAACACAAACAAACTTAGTTTAAATTTTCCAACCAAGTTTCCACATATTTGCGAAAAAATAGCAAGTGAAGCCTTTACAAAAAATGGAGGCAACGATTATAATGTGAGAAATTAAACTATTTAGCTGCATTTGTCGAGTTCACTTAACAAATTCATTAAGAAAATAATTATTGATATAAGTATTTAACGATATTATCTCTATTAATTGATGTTTAATACTCCCTTTGTCCCTATTTATTTGTCCAATTTTTCTTTTTTTACTTGTCCATTTTAACAAATAAAGAAAGGACAAAAAAAAAATTCTATTATACCTTCAATTAATTAATTTTGAAAAAGGTAGAACTTATTAAAAATCTTAAATTTTTAATTCATCTACTTTATAATAATATGAATAAAATGGTAAACTCACTATGTCAATCATTGTTTTCTTAATAGGTGTGTTAATTCAAAAATGGACAAGTAATTAGGAACAAAAGGAGTATTAAATTTTAAAAATAATTTGGAGAATAGTATTTAATGCTAAGGGTAAAACATGAATAATTTTTTATTTTTTTTAATATGTCAAAAGTGACAAGTAAAAATAAAAATATTTCCTCTATCCCTAATAACTTGTCCACTTTTGAATTGACACACGTATTAAGAAAACAATTATCGACATAGTGAATTTACCATTTATCCCTATTAATTTTGAAGTGGATGAATTAAAAACTTAAGATTTTCAAGAAGTTCTACCTTTTTTCAAAGTAATTAAATGAGGGTATAATAGTAAAAATTTTTTGTCCTTTCTTGATTTATCAAAATGGACAAGTACTCCCTCTGTCCAACAATAGTTGTCCATTGACTTGGAACACCCCTTAAGAAACTATAAATAGAAGGGTAATTTTATTACATCACCCTTTGAATATACTAATACAATGTCTTGAAAAATGTAATAGAGAAATGACTGTAATTAATAATAAGAGTAATTTAGGAACTAAGTATAAAATTATCCATGGATTTCATAAAGTGGACAAGTATTGTTGGACATCTATTTTTAGTATAGTGGACAAGTATTGTTGGACGGAGAGAGTAATTAGGGACAACTAAAAAAGAAAAAGTGGACAAATAATTAGAGACAAAAGGAATATATTTTAAGAATAAAGTGACAAATAAAAGTAAACGAGGGAGTGCAATAAATTGTTTTCTGCTTTATTTTCATTTCAAATCAGTTATCAATATCATATCAACCAAACGAAACTATTTAATGTGAGTAAAGAAACATCAGAGCAGGTACTAATTTGACCAATCAACGAAGGTTCATATGAAGTTTCATTTTTCATACTATTATACATTTTGAAATTAAATACAACCGCCCGGTAAAGTTAAAAGTTTGAATACATTCAATAAAATTTAATGTATAAATAATTATGAAATTTAATTTATTATTCAATTATTACCATTTAAAATTATCGTTAAATATAACATGGTGTAATTAATTACTTATGAGTGAGCAATTTCTGTTCATTATCTTTTGAATTTTGAAGCCATAAAGATTAAAATGAAACCTTAGAACAAGTTATGGACAAAACAAAGAAACTAGCGCCAAATTTTCACATATGAGAGATATATCTTTAGTAAATGACCATTGTTTTGAAAAAATAAAATTATGGACATTTTAGACCATAATCTAAAAAATCTTATTTGAAAGTTTGTAAATGTTATGAGAAAATGTTAGACTACGATATAAAATTTATATTCTTTAGATGACTTTGAATGTTTTGTCAATCTCAAAGGTTATATTTCGACCGTTTCTAAAAAAGGGAAATTATGTCGAATAACAAACATGTAGCCTATATTAGGTACTATAGCTACAATTTAAGAAAATTGTAATTCACGGCTACAGTTTCTCCAATTCTTGTTATTTGCCTGATTTGTATAAATTCATCATTGTATAATTCAATTCCTAATTGTAGAAATCTAAAATCTTGTATATGCTTACCCTAGCTATTTGTATACGATTTATGAAAAAATCACAATAAATTACCCTATTTGTATATTGGCAAGAGAAATATACAAACGGAGTTCTGAAAAATCCTTATATGTATAAATACATAATTTATATATACTTACCCTATTTGTATATTTACAAACGAAATATACAAAGGGAAGAAATATGCAAACCGCAACCTCCATAGCAAACGAAACTATAACTATGGGCGCAATTATCGAAACAAGCTATTGAGCCTTATTATGTCTTTTATGTTTGCTATTTCTAAAATTTTCTCTTCTAAAAATAGTGACAAAAACTAAAGAGAAAATTACGCGGTTAAGCAAACTTATACTACTTAATTAGTCATCATAACTATAATTACCACTCACGACTAATATTAACCATTAATTATGTGGGCTGACTTCGAGTTTGTATAATTAGCCACATTTGTATAATTCACAACTAACAATTCTTCGTTTGATTTGTATTTGTATACGATGGTTTGTTTTTATATATGACGATGATTTCCTTTGGTTTTTCAGTTTTATTACCATATACATTCAATCTTTTTATGTATAACTTTTTAAAGTTTGTATAAACGTATAGTTTTTAGATTTTGTATAATATAATTTATATAAATGTAATTTGTATAATATAATTTGTATATTTGTTTAAAGTTCATATGTTTATGTTTGTATCAATTCGTTATTTCGAGTTTTATCATATTTATATAATTTCAGACTTTATATTACTCAATTATACAAAAAAAACACGTGAATTATACAAACAAGATGTGAATTATACAAATTATTGCCCTCTCTCGCTCGCCTCTCTCCTCACTCTCCCAATCTCGTTCGCCTCTCTCCTCCCTCTCCCAATCTCACTCACCAGATATACAAATCTACATGTATACCAGTTACATATATACAATTATCTAACTGATATACATATACAATTCACCTCTCTCCCACTCTCTGCCCTCTCTCGCTCGCCTCTCTCCTCCCTCTCCCAATCTGCTCTCCTCCCTATAATATGTAGCTACGAATCGTAATCAACAAACTATAGCTATGGAGCGTAATTAAGCTATTTTTGAGTGGATATATGCGAAAGTTACCCTAGACTAAATGGTGA